CAGGTCTTTTTGCCTTTCATTACAATGCTTTATCTTGTCTTCTCAAGATGCCCTTCAAAATTTATGTCAAGCTACTTTACTTCCTTATTTCTTCCAGTTGTTTTAACTTCTCTATGCTGTGGGTTAATGCACTGGAGTGCAAAAGTGGTTTGAACCACAAAATCGGCAGTTCAAGTTCACCAGCCACTTCTCGGAAACTCTATGCAGGCTTTCTATGGGTTGGAACCGACTCGATGGCACTTAGCAACACGTTCAAGAGCAAGTTTCAGAGCCTCTTCTGACATCCATTTTGCTCTTTTCTTTCTTTCCTGTCTTTTTTCTTCTTTCTAGTTCATACATGCACAGGTTTATTATAAACAAAATGTGGTACATGTGTCTCTGCAGTCATGGATGGTTGCAGTAATACACTTGTCTTAGTCTCAAAACAATGGCTTTGAAGGGATCTGCTGGGCCAGTTAAATTCATGGTAGAGAGGTCATCTCAGAAAGTTAGAGCTACAATTTTGTGGGAACCTAAAGGGATGTCATCTTGATAGGTTTTCTCATAATAATCATGGGGGCTGGTTATGAAGAAGGTTTAAGATAAATGAAAGCTGCATCAGTGAGGGAAAAGCCAGGCAAGTTACTCTGAGGAATTTTTTCCATCATGACAATGCAAAATTTTCAGGGCAGCAAGGGTTGTTCTACAAAAATTTTGTTGGAAAACCTTGCCCCATCCACCCTACAACCCTGATCTTGTCCCTTCAGTCTTCTTTTTGATTCTAAAACTCACAGAACATTGAAAAGGACCATGATTTGAGAATGCCAAAACTGCCATTTTAATGTGGTGTAAATCAAAGAGCGCAGAATTCTTTGAGGGTTAGAGGGATGGAAACACTACCTTTGGAAGGGTATGGGCCTAGATGGAAGATATGTCAAGAAAATAGCTTCACAGTTTGATATTTGTGATTCTAACATGTTCAAAGTTCTTTGTAAGGGAAACTCACATTTTCATTTTCTCTCTTCTTGCAGTGTACAAGCTGTAATAGGAAGTCCCTTATCCTCGAAGATTAACCTGCATGAGCAAGGTAGGCGTAGTACAGTGTCTCTAAATCATCTGCCTCCCAAACGTTGACCTTCCTCAGTGACTTGCTGATTTGTGAGCTTATCCATTTTTGCTGGCTGACATTAAACAATTACTACTTGAACACTTAAAAAAAATATTCATCTTATTTGACATAGCTGCCACTTTTAATTCACTGTCTAGAACACAGTATAAAGTATATGAACGTAGTTTTAAATGATTTTAGTACTTTTTTCAGTAAATTCACATGCTGCTCTTCCATTGCAAGTTTTTTGTTTTATTCTTTTATCTTTTCTTTGTGTGTGTGTGTGAATTGAGTGATCATTTACATGGGAGAACATTGGTTTTACACACATCGTTTCATTGCAATGTCTTTCCTGTCTTTTAAGTAACCTTTTGCTTTCTTCCTATATGATATTCTTGTTGAAGGCTTACAGACAAGTTTTACATTCAACAAATCATACACTTTGTTTCGTCTCAATAATTGCAATCCCCTCCATGCAACAATAGTTACTCCATTTCTTCTCTGTGGTTCCTGTTTCCTTTCCACCCACCTTTGCATCCTTTCTTAACATTGTCCTTAGGCAAATGTTGCCCTTTTGATTTTGAATGCTTGACCATTCCATGGTGAGCGTACCTTATTAGTGTTGTCCCCGCTCTATGCCTATCTACTGTTTGGCTGAAAATTGAGTCAGGAGGGTGAGTTCCTTTCCAGGCTTAAAGTGTGGTCTCAGGTTACTCCAGTCTCTTTCGGACTAGTAGTCTGTTTTTGTTTTTTAAATATAATTTTGAGTTCTGTTCTACATTTTCTGCCACTCTATCTGAGATCTTCTAATGTGATCTCTTTCAGAGCAGTTGTAGTGGTGGCTAGTCACCATCTAGTTCTTCAGATCATGTGAAGGCTGATCTTCACATGTTCCATTAGCCCATTAGACTCATTGACTCAAGTATGTATAATGTTCTAGATGTCATCCAACATCTTCGGTCATTAGTGTCCAATGCATCAAACATATTCTTGACATTTGATAAGTCTAGGTGGGATATATTCAAGGTCATATTTTGACTCTTATGGACTTGTTTTAATTTTCTTCAGCTTCAGCCTGAACTTACATATGAGCAACTGGTGGTCTATTCCACTGTCAGCCCCTGGCATTGTTTTGGTTGATGATATTGAGTTTTTTCACAGTTTCTTCCCAAAGATGTAGTCAATTTAAATCCTAGTGAGGTACACATATATAGTCACTATTTATATTGTTTTACAAAGGTATTTGCAATGAATAAGTCATCAGTCTTGCAAAATTCTATCATGCCATCTCCAGCATCGTCTCTATTACCAAGGCCACAGTTCCCAACTGCTGAGCCTTCCTCTTTGTTTACAGACTTCACATTCCAATCACCAGTAATTATGAATGTATCTCAACTGCGTATTTGATCTATTTTAGACTGAAGACGTTGGTGGAATTCTTTCTTCAGTTTCATCATCATAGGCTTTAGTACTTGGTGCATAAATTTGAATAATAGTGTTATGAAGTGGTCTTCCTTGTAGGCATATGGATATTAACCTATCACAGACAGCTTTGTACTTCAAGATTAATCCTGAAATGCTCTATTTAATGATGAATGCCACTCCATTCCTCTTCAATTTGTTGTTCCTGGCATTGTAAACCATAGGTTTGTCCTACTGAAAATGGCTAATAACAGTCAATTTCACCTCACCAATGATACATTAAACACTAAAGACCAAAGACCAGAAGAGTTGTGGGATGACATCAAGATCATACATGAAGAAAGCAAAAAGTCATTGAGAAGGAAAGAAAGAAGGAAAAGGTCAAAATAGATGTCAGAAGAGACACTGAAACTTGCTCTCCGGCGTAGAGATGCTAAAGCAAATGGAAGAAATGAGGTGGTACAAGAGCGGAACAGAAAATTTCAAAGATCAGTTCGAGAAGATAAAGCCAAATATTACAATAAAATGTGCAAAGATCTGGAATCAGAAAACCCAAAAGGAAGAACACGGTCAGCATTTCTCAAGCTGGGGGAACTGAAGAAAACATTCAAGCCTCGACTTTCGTTATTGAAAGATTCTCTGGGAAAATTATTGAATGATGCAGAAAGCATCAAGAGAAGATGGGATGGAAGAAATACACAGATTCACTGTACCAAAAGGAAATGATTAATGTTCAACTGTTTCAAGAGGTAGCATATGATCAAGAGCCAATGATACTGAAGGAGGAAGTCCAAGGTGCATTGAAGGAATTGTTGTTGTTAAGTGCAGTCAAATTGGCATCGACTCATAGCAGCCCTATGCACAACAGAACGAAACACTTCCCAGCCCTGCACCTACCACACAGTCATTGCTACGCTTGAGCTCATTGCTGCTGCCACTGTGCAAATCCACCTTCTTAGAGGGTCTTCCTCTCTTTCTCTGACCCTCCACTTTTGCCAAACATGGTATCCTTCTCCAGGGACTGGTCGATCCTGATGATATGTCCAAAGTATGAGAGATGACTTTCAAGGAGCACTCTGACTGTACTTCTTCCAGCACAGATTGGTTTGTTCTTTTGGCAGTCCATGATACTTTTAATATTCTTCTCCAACACCATAACTCAAATGCATCAATTCTTCTATGGTCTCCCTTATTCACTGTCCAGCTTTCACATGCATATGAGGTTATTCAAAATACCATGACTTGGGTCAGGCGCACCTTAGTCCTCAAGCTGACATCTTTGCTTCTGAACACTTTAAAGAGGTCTTGTGCAGCAGATTTGCCCAATGCAATACGTTGTCTGATTTCTTGACCTATGCTTCCATGAGTGATGATGGTTGATCCGAGCAAAATGTCTTTTATTGGTCCAGTGGTTGCGGCACAGCCCATGCTGAAGGCTGTGGTCTTTGATCTTCATGAGTTCTCTTCACTTTCAGCAAGCAAGGCTGTATTGTCTACATATTGCAGGTTGTTAATGAGTCTTCCTCCAATCCTGATGCCACATTCAGCTTCAAGGGTTAAGTGTTGAAATAAAGCAGAAGGTACAGACAGGCCTGAGGCAAAATTGAATTGAGTAAAGTTTATTGGAGAATAGACTGCAACCAACATCTGTTTCAGTTCACAAAATAAAATACACATCCTAGACAGCATGCATGAAACAGATAAAAAGGTACTGTAAAAAGCATGTGCTCAAATAGTGATATGAGAGAGTCCTGGTAGCGTAGTGGATTCCGAACTGGGTCAACAGGTCGAATCTACCAGTTACTCCACGGGAGAAAGATGAAGCTTTCTGCTCCCATAAAGATTATTGCCTTGGAAACCCTGTACAGGTGTCTATGAGTTGGAACTGACTCAGTGGCACACAACCACCACCGCCTCCAAATCGTAATGTACAATCTATATGACACTGACATACACTTTCTCTAGTGATAGGACTCAATAGCTTACATGTTTAACCAATTTCCCAAGTGATTCTTAAACACAACAAAGCCTGAGAAGCAATGTTGTTGTTAAGTGCCGTCGAGTCGGTTCCGACCCAAAGCGAACCTGTATAGGGTTTCCGAGGCTGTTAATCTTTATGGGATCAGAAAACCTGATCTTTCTCCTGCGGAACCGCTAGTAGTTTGGAACTGCTAACCTTGAGATTAGTAGCCCAAATCATAACCACTACGCTACCAGAGCTCCATGAGAAGCACTGCAATAGGTACTTAATAAATACTTGTTAGATAAAATATGTACATTTAGGAAAGCAGGATGAATACGTGAGTTTACTTGCTACCCCAGATCTATGAGTCAGCAAAATACATATATCTGAAGGAGTTTACAAGGATTTTGAGACAAATCATCCAGAAAGAAGGGAGATATGACACTTAATCATAATGTCTTAAAATAAAGCAGAATAGTAAACCCTCTTTCTGATTGTCTTTTTCCTCAGAATATGGACTCGGAAAATATGGAAGCTGAAAATGCAGAAGGTGAAAATATGGAAATTGAAAATGTGGAATCTGAAAGTATGGAAACTGAGAGTTTTTCTCCGGTTTCAACTCTACAAGCTCTCTCTAAGCTACTCCATCCTGAAGAAGATACTGATGTTGAATTTGAACAGGTGGTCATATACTTCAAGATAAATTAGTTCTGTTCACATTAAGTTCTGAAATTGTGTTTGAACAACGTGTCCCAACCTTGCAGTGGGAGCAGGGCTATGTCATTTGATACATACACAGGAGGTTATAAGGCTGATTATGCATGAGATTATAACCTCTAGCACATTTCTAGCAAACATAATTATATTTTTTTCTAAACCACCTGAACACTGAATAGGAAAATAGTTCTGTAGCTATGGTAGCAATAGACACATTTCAAAATGTTTGTCATTTATATTTATGGGCAAAGAATGCTTGACAACCACAGCAAGAATACTAGCTAGCACTATTTTAGCCTAGACTGTATTTCTACAAAAGAAAGATTTTCAATTATATAGTATTAACTGGACCTCCCAAGTACCATTCCCAATCTTTTTTTTTTTTTTTTTATCTACCCATGAAAGCAGAAGAGAAAATATTTTGACGCAAACAATGGAACAAAGTAGCTTCGTTCTACTAAGATTGGCTTGTGCGTATATACTCAGCAGCAGTGGAGTGTAACTGGTTAAGTAGCATTTGGAATCAAAACAGATAACCTCAGGGCTACTTAAAGCAGCAAGATGAGCTACATTTTTCCTGGGAGAGTTCTCTGAAATGACTTTTGGCCACTCTAAGTTCACTGCTAGTATTTTCAGAATGACAAGTACTTTCATGTAACTGTAACACCAGTTCTCCATTCCCCTACTCCTTAAATATTAGCCACCTTTGGTTATCAGACTACCTATGTGAAAGCAAACAAAATTTAGGGCAACCATTTCATTGTTATAGTCCAATATACCCAATAGAGTATGCTGATTTCTTAGAATTATTTTAATGAAGTTTTTCATAGTTACAAGCCATTTACCACGAATAAACCATCTTACATGAATATGCAGATCAATGTACCCCTCTTCCTACTTTTCTTTCCCATAATGTAGAAAAACAGATATAATCTGAATACATAGCAAGTTCAGTGACTCAGATGGACACTGGATTGGACTTCTACCTTCCAGGAAGAGCTTTGATGGAAAGAGCAGAAATAAATTAAACATGAAATGGAAATAAAATTTGTAGAAGACGGGAACTGAGCTTGAAAGGATCAGAAACTGAGAAATTTTCATCAGGGAAAAGTCTTAGTAAAGGATGACTAAATAAAGAAAAACCAGGAGGTTAATACAGCACATACAACAAATAGGACACAGAGAAAAGATTAGGAGTAATGTATCATTGAAGTTAGGAACACAAGGTCTTTTTATTTTGCTACCTTAGCTTAAATAGCAAAATAATCATTTCTGGAGGCTACATCCTGGGAAAGATAGGGTTATAGCGCATAGAAAAAGTAATTAAATTAAGAATTTCAGAAGCAGTGATCTTGAATAAAGAGAAGTGACAATTTGTAACTGTAACACATTCAGAGATAGGATTTACCCTTTACAAAGCCTTTTCTCTTCCTCATTTGTGTATGGAGAGGTTTATTTGCATCTAGTGGTGTTTCTAGGGGAAAGATGAGTGCTTATGAGAACAGAAAGACTAGAATCATTTTAGTGAATTGTACAGTTTATAGAGGAAAATTACTATAATAATGTATGATTCTGTATATCTGGGTTATAAGCAATTTTGAGATAATTGGCCATTCAGATACTGCAGTACAGATATCATTAGAGGGTATAGAATTAGAGTATCAGAACAGTGGGAGAATAATTAATGTTTCTAATGAACTATTAAATTTTCCAGGAGAGAAACTGCTTTTCATTTTTTAGCATGCATTAATCTTGGGAGCTGTGGAATGATTACAAAAGTGATATGTTTTGGAGAATACAATCTCTGAAACCAGCAAGAGAACTGTTGGATATGTATCAGTTAGTTCATTTACACTATCCCCACCATTGGGATGAGAGTATGCCTGTTGTTTTTTAAACTCATGAGAGGGTCTTAAAGCCTATGGGAAATAAGGTTGTACTTAGTTGAAAAAAAAAAAAAAAAAAAAAAAAGACAACTGTTCTTACACTGTGAGCCAAAGGCAATCCTGGGGAGTATTCATACTTATACAGAAGATGGCAAAATAAATTTGTATTGCATGAAAATTAAAGTGGTCCAATATGTATATGCTACTATTAATGTAGGGTTGCTCTTTAAATCTAATAAATCAGTGTTATGGTGGGATGGGGAACTGTTTCATACACTTAGTGGCAGAAGTCTAAGCTGTTATCTAGATATTTGAATGGGTCATTTGGAGTTTAAATAATTGGACTCTATTTAGTGGGTAAATTGTATTCCTATAAAACTTTCCCAGTTAACCCCAATCTATGACCAGACACTACTAATACTCCATAGATGCCAATGATCTTATACTACCAGTTAGTTCTAACCTTTATAAAGTTGAATGTGGCTCATTCTTTTATCCCTGTCCCCCCATTACCCTCGAGTCAATTCTGACTCATAGTGATCCTATAGGACAGAATAGAACGGTCCCCCCCAGGGTTTCTAAGGGTATTATCTTTATGGGAGCCTATTGCCACATCTTTCTCCTACTGGTTGGTGAGTTTGAACTGCCGACCTTTATTTACCTCAAACTCTTAACTGCTGCACTTCCAGGGCTTCCTCCCTATACAGGGATAAGGATCTAGCCTGATGGATGATTAACTCTGCCCTGTTGTTGTTTCTGTCATTAGGTGCCAATGAATTGGTTCCAGTTCATGGCAACCCTATGTACAACAAATGGAAACACAACGTGGTCCTGCACCATCCTCAAAATCTTTGTTATGTTTAAGTCCAGTGTGGTAGCCACTTTGTCAGTCTATCTCATTAAGGGTTTTCCTCTTTTTCACTGATCCTTTGCTTCACCAAGCATGATGTACTTTTCCAGGGACTGGTCTGTCCTGATAACATGTCAAAAGTATGTGAGACAAGGTCTTGTCACCTCCAGGAACATTCTGGCTGTACTTGATCCGAGACAGATTTATTCATTATTCTGGCAGCCCCTAGTATATTCCATACTCGTCCTCAAAAAAAAAAAAGAGCCTTTTTGCTCTTCCTTATTTATTGTCCAGATTTCACATGGTACCAACTCGATGGCACCTAACAACAACAACAACAACTGCATAATAAGGTCATATTCTGGCTTGTGTGACACGTTTGCCCTACTCACCCAGTCCCCCTCTGTAGAGTTCCTTCAGGTTCGCAGTGATCCCATTAGAACAAAGTAGAACTGCTCCATAGAGTTTCTGAGACTAAATCTTCACCAAAGCAGACTACCTCACTTCTCTCCCTAGGGGTAGCTGGTAGGTTTGAACCATCAACTTTTCAGTTAGCAGCCAAAAGCTTAAACCATTGTGCCACCAGGGCCTCTTAAGTCCACTTAATAACTTATTAAATATAATTAGTTTTGAAAGAACAAGGAAAACATATTGAAAATAATACTTGACATCTGTCTCTTTGTTGCATAACAATTATATGTAATTGAATTGAAAACTATATAAATATTTTAAATGGAAAGCTAATCAAATGTAAATTATTTAAAAATTATTATTAATAATGATTTATGTTATACAAGTAGTAATTACAGATTGTTGTACTTTTTTTCCTCATATGCCAGGCAAATTTTTCAACTACTATGGGTGCGACAGGTCCTGGGAATATTGGACCACCCCAAAGAAGAGAGAGCACAAGTAAGTTTTTCAATAAAGCAGTATAGATCAATATATTATTTTTTCTTTTAGATCAATATATTGTTCAACAAGAAAAATCTTGTTGAAAAATTCTGAGCACACGAATTTTTTGGTTTCCCAGTGCATATAAAACCGCAAGGTAAGCACTTCGAAACTACCAGCTGCTCTGCGGGAGAAAGATGAGGTTTTCTGCTCCTGTAAAGATTTTTTTTTTCTTTTTCAATGTTTTATTGTGAATTATGTGATAGTTTACATGGGAGAGAGAACATCATTAGCTTCACATTCATCCTATCGTATATCGTTTCATTGCCATGGTTACAATCCCCGCCATGCATCATCAACTAACCAAAGGGTATACCCTTTGTCAGCACACAGCCCCTCTCCCTCTCTGGGCCAATCTGTCATCTTAAACCTGCCCACACCACTCATTTATTTTATTTTACTCTTTTTGAACATTTTACTGTGGTTCTGGTGAAAATTTACAGAGCAAATTCATTTTACATTCAACAGTTTATACATATTTTATCATTCTTCTCACAGCTTCCCCAGGTCCCCTATTCCCATTCTTCTTTCCTACCCTTTCCTGTCTTCTGAACTTATTCTTCACCTTTTGGTCTTGAATAGTTGTTCTGAGGATGCTCCTCACAGGTGATCTCCCCGCAAGGGTGGGTTCAGTTCCAGACTTGAAGGGTGTCTAAGGGCCATAATCTCTAGCGTTCTACTAGTTTCTATCAGTCTGTTTTTGGTTTTGGGGTTGAATAATTTTAAATTTTGTTTTACGTTTTTCTCCCATTCTGTCCAAGACCTATGTTAATCCTGATCAGAGCAGTCAGTAGGGATAGCCACCGGGCACCACCTAGTTCTGGTTTCAGGCTGCAGTCCAGGCTCTTGTTCACATGGTCTGTTAGTCCTTTGCACGCATTGTTTTCTTGAATTGCTGATGTTCTGGCCTGGGAGAGACCAATAGTTGCTTCTTAGATGGCCACTTGTAAGTTTTTAAGAAGAACCTAGGAGTCCTGGTGTGGCGCTGTAGGATAAGCGCTTGACCGCAAGGTCAGTTTGAATCACAAAGTCAGTGGGTCAAACTCACCAGCTGCTCCTTGGAAACTCTATACAGGGTCACTATGAGTCAGAAGCGATTCAAGGGCACTTAACAACAACAGTTGCTATGCACCAAAGTAGGATGCAGAACATTGTCTTTTACTTGCCTGCCTGGACGTGACCTAGACAGAAGGAAGAGAATTCCTTTCCCAAGACCTGTCTGTACCGGGTCATGTGACTGTGTTTCTCTAACCCTGGGGCTGCTGGAGGCAGAGTTGAATATTTATGCCTGAGCTGCACAGCATGGGAGGAAGGCACAGATGTTCATCAAGGCCCGAGAGTGGCTGTCTTCCTCACATGTTCTCAAATCCACTCTGGCCAACGAGCGAGTCTATCTAGTAGAGAGCTCAGAGCATTCTGGCTGCTGTCACCTTGAGCAGAACCAATGACTGTGATTGCAAAGTTAGACTGGAGGGCCTCCCAAGAGCCCTCCTGGTCCCCTGAGCCTATGAATTAAACCACAGACTAAAATCAACGGGTAAAGTCTATTCTGACTCAAGTGACCCCATAGGATATGGTAGAACTGCCTCACAGGGTTTCCGGTTTCCAAAGCTACACATCTTTATGGAAGCAGAATGCCACATCTTTCTACCACAGAGCAGCTGCTGGGTTTGAACCACACTAATCTTTTGGTTAACTACGAATTAGGCTGCGAACCGCAAGGTCAGCAGTTCGAAACTACCAGCTGCTCTGCGGAAGAAAGATGAGGCTTTCTGCTCCTGTAAAGATTTACAAGCCTTGGAAACCCTGTTCAGGGTCACTATGGGTTGGAACCGACTCTAGGCACTTAACAACAACAGCAAGTGCATATAAAAGCTATGTTTGCATTACACTGTAGTCTATTAATTGTGTATTAGCATTATGGTAAAAAGGAAATGTTGTGAAAATTGCCAAAATACAACAAAGGGACATGAAGTGAGGATATGCTGTTGGAACAATGGTGCTGATAGACTCGCTCATGTATGGTTGCCACAAACCTTTAATTTGTAAAAACGCATTATCTGTGAAGCACAATGGAACAGAAAGTCAGTATAGGGAGAATAATACTTACATTACAAAAAAGTTTCCTGTCGAGTCAACTCTGGGTCCTGCAATTCATGACAACCCTGTATGTCAAAGTAGAACTGTGCTTTACAGGGTTTCCAATGACGGAGATTTTCAGAAGTACATCACCAGGCCTTTCTTCAAAGATATCTCAGGGGAGACATGAACCTCCAACCTTTAGGTTAGCAGCCGAGCACACTAAACTTTGGAATACCCAGGGACTCCAGTCTACAGTAGCACTTATTAAAGATGATCTAAAATAATTGTGAAAATAATTAACAGTAATTTACATATAAAGATGCTATTTATACCTTACTATTGCACATAAGTTGTTTTCCTAGTCGTGGAAATTAATTTTCCTTGAATCATCACATTCTTTGGTGTATATTACTGAGATGGAAAAAATAAGAAAATAGTGTGTGCTTTGTTGTTGTTGTTGTTAAGTGCCGTCGAGTCGGTTCCGACCCATAGCGACCCTGTACAGGGTTTCCGAGGGTGTAAATCTTTACGGGAGTAGAAAGCCTCATCTTTCTCCCGCGGAGCGGCTGGTAGTTTCGAACCACTGACCTTAAGGTTCGCAGCCCGATTCAAGTTTTTTATTATTTAGGGTCTAGTTACCAAGATTCTTAAATTCTTTACCTTTTACCTTCCTAGATCAGGCAACTTCACAAAATTCATTCATTCAGCAAATATTTATTGAGGCCCTGTTATGTACCAATGTTATGTACCGATTTATTGAGGCCCTGTTATATACCAATATACCAAAATGTGGCATTGTAGAATAGCCACTGGACTGTTAACCACAAAGACAACAGCAGTTCAAACCCATAAGCAACTCTCAGAAACCCTTACAGGATCGCTATGAGTTGGAACTGACTCAAGGTCACACAACAATAGCAACAACATTATGTACCAGGCAATATAGTTGTCTCTGAGATTACAATGGAGATTAAATTAGAAAAGGTTTCTGCACTTATGTAATTAATACTGTTTTGAAAAGGTAAGAGAATAAATAACTACACAATATTGTCTTATAATGAAACATTTATGAATTAATGTCCATGGTTACGTTGAATGAAAAGATAAAGGAATTTTTCCACAAACTTTTTGAAGCACCTTGTGAAATCACAGGTCCAATAAACTAGAAGAAATAACTTGGATGTTTTCCCAGCATTTTGGTCTATACTTTTTCACAAAGTTGGACAGTTCACACATCTTTTTTTCAAAAAAATATTATTTGCTGTTGTTAACTGTCATTGAGTTGATTCCAACTCATAACGATCCTGTTTAAGGTTTCCAAGGAGTGACTGGTGCGTTTAAGCCTTGTGGTCAGCCATCTAGTGCTTATCCTAGCTCTAACTCTGTTGGTCATTATCACAATTACAAGAAGATAAACAGAGGAAGGAAGTAGAAATCATTAACTAATTTAGGTAATTGTAAAAAAGTTGATCTGGAAAAAAATATTTAAAATAATGGTTAAAATGAGGCCTGAGGGTGCTTTAAAATACCCCATTATGTGGTTAATGCGCTGGACTGCAAGGTTGGTTTGAACTGTAAGGACGGAAGTTCAAGTTCACTAACTGCTCCTCAGAAACCCTATACAGGGTCGCTAGAGTCGGAGCTGACTCAACAGCACTTAACAACAACAACGACATTGCTGTATATAATCAAGAGTCTATTTGCCTTATTTGAAAGATACTCATTCCATGGAGAACTAGTTCAGATTTGGATGTATTGCTGTGCTTCCTCTATTCCTGCTATTGTGGGTATAATAATCTCTGAATTTAAAGGACAATGTGTCATATGCAAAGAGTTATATATAAATCTACAGTTGTTGTCATGTGCCATGGAGTCGATTCTAACTCATCGCGACCCTGTGCACGACAGAATGAAACACTGCGTGTCCTTCACCATCTTTACAACTGTTAAGCTTGAACCCATTGATGCTGCCACTGTACCAATGTGTCTCGCTGGAGGTCTTCTTCTCTTTTGCTGACCCTCTGCTTTACCAAGCATAATGTCCTTCTCCAAGGACAGGTTCCTCCTGAAAACACGTCTGAAGTTTGAGAAACGAAGTCTTGACATCCTGGTTTCTAAGAAGCATTCCGTTTGTTCTTCTTCCAACACAGATTTGTTTGTACTTCTGGCGGTTCGTGGTACTTTCATTATTCTTTTCCAACACTATAGCTGAAATGCATCAATTCTTCCACATTCTTTATTCAGTGTCCAACTTTCACATGCATATGAGGCTATTGAAAATACCATGGCTTGGGGTTAGGTACACCTTAGTCCCCAAACTGACACCTTTGCTCTTTAACACTTTAAAGAAGTCTTTTGCAGCAGATTGACCTAATGCAGTATGACGTTTGATTTCTTGACTGCTGCTTCCATGAGTGTTGATTGTGGATTCAAACAAAATGAAGTAGTTTATAACATCAATCTTCTCTCCATTTATCATGATGTTATTTACTGATCCAGTTGTGAGGATTTTTGTTTTATTTACATTGATGTGCAATCCATATTGAAGGATGTAGTCTTTGATATTTACTGGTTAAGTATTTTAAGCCCTCCTTGCTTGCAAAAAGCAAGGTTGTGTCATCTGCATATCACAAGTTGTTAAAGAATCTTCCTCCAATCCTGATGCCATGTTCTTCATATAATCCACCTTCTTGGATTATTTGCACAGCATACAGATTAAGTATGGTAAAATAAATAAATAAATAAAGCCTTGGCACACACTTTTTCTGATTTTAAACCATTTAGTATTCCTTTGTTCTCTTTTAATGATTGCCTGTTGGTCTATGTACAGGTTCCTCATAAGCAAAACTAAATGTTCTGGAATTTACCTTCTTCTAGGTGTTATTGATAGTTTTTGTTTATCCACACAGTTGAATGCCTTTGCATAGTCAATAAAGCACTAATAAACATGTTTCTAATATTTTCTGCTTTAAACCAACATCCAACTGACATTAGCAATGATATCCCTTGTTCCATGTCCTCTTCTGACTCCTGACAGAATTTCTAGCAGTTCCGTGTCAATGTGCTGCTACAACTGTCTGATTATCTTCAGTAAGATTTTATTTGTATGGGATATTAATAATACTGTTTTATAATTTTGGCATTCTGTAGGGTCACTTTTTTTTTGAAATTAGCACAAGTAGTTGTCTTCCAATTTATTGGCATAGACTAGTGAGTGCATCACTTTGTTTAAACATTTCAATTAATATTTTGTCTATTCCTGGAAACCTGTTTTTCGTTAATGCCTCTAGTACATCTTGGACTTCTTTCTTCAGTACCATCAGTTCTTGATCATATGCTACCTTCTGAAATGATTGAATGGAATCTATTGGTTCCATTTTCTTTTGATGTTTCCTGCATTGTTCAATGTTTTGCCCATAGAATCCTTCAATATTACAAAGTTGAGGCTTGAATTTTTTCTTCAGTTCTTTCAGTTTGAGAAATGCTGAGTGTGTTCTTCCCTTTTGGTTTTCTAACTCTAGATGTCTGCATATTTCATTATAATACTTTATTTGTCTTCTCTAGCTACCCTTTGAAATTTTCTGTTCAGGACTTTTACTTCATTTCTTCCAGTCACTTTACCTACTCTGCATTCAAAAATAAGTTTTAGAGTCTCTTCTGATATCCACTGTGGTCTCCCCTCCATCCCTTTTTTTCTTTCCTGCCCTCCTTTTTATTATCTTTTGATTTCTTCATGCATGATATTCTTGATGTCATCCACAACTCTCTGGTCTTCAGTCATTAGTGTTCAGTATGTTAAATGTGTTGATGAGATTATCTCTAAATTCAGGTGACTTGTAGTGTAGTGGTTACAAATCGGGCTGCTAACCTCAAGGTCAGTAGTTCGAAATTACCAGCTGTTCCACAGGAGAAAGATGAGGCTTTCTGCTCCCATAAAGATTTACAACCTCGGAAACCCTGTACAGGGTTGCTATGAGTCGTAACTGACTCCACGGCACATAACCACCACCACCATCATACTTAAGATCGTATTTTGGTTCTCACGGAGTTGTTTTAAGTTTTTACAACTTCGACCTGAATTTGCATATGAGCAATATATACGGTCTGTTCCAGTCTGCCCCTGGCTTTGTTTTGGCTGATGATATTAAACTTCTCCACTATCTCTTCCCACAGATGTAGTCAGTTTGATTCCTGTGTATTCCATCTGGCGATGTCCATGTGTATAGTCTCCATCTATGTTGTTGAAAAAAAGATGTTTGCAATGAATAAGTCATTGGTATTGCAAAATTCTATCATGAGATCTTCAGAGTCATTTCTATCTCTAAGGCCATCATTTCCCACTACTGATTCCTCCTCTTTGTTTCTAGCTTTCACATTCCAGTCACCAGTAATTGTCAATGCATCTGAATTGCATGTTTGATCAATTTCAGATTGAAGACATTGATAGAATTCTTCAATTTCTTCTTTATTGGCTTTAGTGGTTGGTGCATAAATTTGAGCAGTCCTATTAATTAGTTTTCTTTGTAGGCATGTAGATAGTATCCTATTATAGACACCATTGTACTTCAAGATAGATCTTGAAATGTTCTTTTTGACCATGAATGTGGCATCATTCTTCTTGAATGTGTCATTCCTAACATAGTAAACTATACGATTGTCTGATTCAAAATGGTCAATACCTGTCCATTTTAACTCACTAATGCCTAAGATATCTATCTTTATGTATTCTATTTCCTAGATTCATACTTCATGCATTCCACATACCAATTATTAATGAATATTTGCAGCTGTTTCTTCTCATTTTGATTCATGTCCCATCAGCAAATCAAGCTTTCCTCCAGCCATGTCATTAAAAGTGACTCTATTTTTCTATCCATGCTACATTGTTGCTGTTGTTAAGTACTGTCAAGTGGGTTTCTGACACACAGAGACCCTGCATAGGGTTCCTGAGGAGAGGCTGGTGGGTTTGAACTGCTGAACTCACTGTGAGCAGTCCAGTGCTTAACCTAGAGCGCCACACTAGGACTCCATGCTAGATGGAAGCAGATAATTTTTTTTTTTAATGGACAGTTAAAAAACTGATAATCAGGTGCATTTCTGGAGATACTTGATAGTGGCGGTGGTTATGTGCTATTGAATCGGTTCTGACTCATGACGACCTTGTATAGGGTTTCCAAGGCTATAAATCTTTATGGGATCAGAAAGCCTTATCTTTGTCCCATGGAGCAGCCAGTGATTTGGACTACTGACCTTGCAGTCAGCAGCCCAACATGTAACCCACTATGCCACCCGAGCTCCTTCTGGGGATACTTTGTTGTTGTTAAGTGCCATCAAGTCGGTTCTGACCCATAGTGACCCTGTATAGGGTTTCTGAGGAGCAGATAGTGAGCTTGAACCACTGAATTTGCAGTTCAAACCAACCTTGCAGTCCAGCACATTAACCCGCAGCACCATACTAGGACTCCCCGAGGATGCTTGTTGTTGTTGTTAAGTGCCATTGAGTTGGTACTGACACTTAGAGACACTGTATTGGGTTTCCAGGGAGCTTCTGGTGAACTTGAACCACCATCCTTGAGGATCAAACCAACTTAGCAGTCCAACACATTAACTCATAGCTCCACACTGGGGATGCTTAGAAGGACCCAAAGTAACATTCCACACATGATACTGTTTCCGTTTACAGTCCTGATATTTGGAACAGATATAAACTGGTCTTTTAATTACTGTTGGACCCCATCTCCTTTTTTTTCCTCCCCTTTCAATTTTATAGTAGTTTGGGTGAATGTTTACAGAGCAAATTAGTTTTCCATTCAAGCATTCATACAGTTTGTTTCTTGATCTTGACTGCAATCTCCACAATGTAACAGCACTCTTTCCACTGCCTCTCTGTAGTTCTCACTCGTGTTCTTTTTTCCTGTCCCTAACTGCCTTCTGGGCTTCCTCACTGGGCAAAAGCTGCCCCTTTGATCCCATATGGTTGATTTTTCTAAGGAATGCATACTTGGTATTATTGTTCACCAAATAGGCCTGTCTATTGTTTGGCTGAAAGTTGTGCCACAGTTCACTTTCAGACTTGATGGATGACTAAGGACCCATAGCCTCAGGGGTTCCACCAGTAAGCCTGGTCTTTTTTATGATTTTGAATTTTGTTTCACATTTTCCTCCCACGCTATCCAGGACCTTCTATTGTGGTGGTAGCCAGGTACCATCTAGTTCTTCTGGTCTCAGGCTCCTGGAGACTGAGGTTCACTTGGCCCATTAGTCCTTTGTTTCCTTGAATTTTATTTTTCTTCACTCTTTGTTCCAGATGGGAGAGACCAATAGTTGCCCCTTTGATGACAAGCTTTTAAGATTTTGAACATTTAAAGATGGCTTGTTTTCTATCCAGGTTTCTACCCAGGCATTTGCTCAGCTATGCATAGATATTTTCTTTAAAGTTCATGTTTATATGAAGAAAACAAAAGTCTGTGGTTCAGGTGGCAGGCCTGACATTTCTGCTGGCTCATGAGATTGCTGGGGGTTGACAAAATTATCAGAAAAACAAGGCTCCAGGAATTGTAAAAATACCAACTGAGATGTTTTAACAATTGAATGCAGTGCTGGAAGCACTCACTCATTGATGTTAATAAATTTGGAAGGCAGCTACTGGGCCAACTGAAAGGAAGTGATCCATTTTTGTGCCCATTCCAAAGAGAGTGATGCAACAGAATGAGACAATTATCAAACAATATCATAAACAAGTAAAATTTCCCTAAATATAATTCAAAAACAGTTGCGACAATGCATCAACAGAGAACTTCCAGAAATTCAAGCCAGAGTCAGAAGAGGACTTGGAACAAGGAATATCATTGCTAATGGCAGATGGATCCTAGCTGAAAGCAGATAATACCAGAAACATATGTATACCTGTGTTTCATTGACTGCACAAAGGCATTCTACTGTATGAAGCATAACAAATTGTTGACATTGGGAAGAATGGGAACCCAAAATATGCAGAGCAGGTAGCAAGTCCAAGATTTCTGTCCCAAGATCTGGAGCACAGAAAAAGAAGATTTCTGGATCCAGAAACTGAGAGAGAATCTTGAACCATGGCTGTCCATATCAGGTTACAAAATGGAAGGTGATTACCTAATGTTTACTAAACCACTGAGACTCATGGCCCAGCTCAGTTGGCACATAACATTAACAATTTATTTGCATATACTCATATATGTCTACAGAAAAAGAACAGAAAGCTATATGCCAGAATGCTGACATTGATTATGTCTGGGCAGTTGGATTGTACATTTAAAATTTTTTTTAATTTTATATGTCTGTTCTCAATTGTCTACAATTAACATGTATTTGTTTTGTGTTGACAGGAAAAAAACAAATACGGTAAGCTGTTACTAATTTAACAACAACAGAAAAACTCCTAGTGATTACAAATAGAAAATGTTTTACTTGATTTGTCCCAAACTGAGTGTGAAAGACAGGAGCAAGCAATTTAGAGAAGAGAAATGGGCAACAGCTTTAGTTTTATCTTCCCTTTCTTTACAGTCATCCCTCGAACCAGTGTTCAACGTTGCAAAGACATCTGGAGGTCAGAGGAAGTTTCAGAAGGAGCAGAGCACAGTGACATATGGGATATTAGAGTAACGCCCGAGTAAGTCAAATGAAGCCTAGAGTGTGTCTAAGAGTTTAAGTTAGATATGTCTTCTGCTACCATCCTATTTTTGACAAGTTTCATAAAGTAACTTACCCTACAGAAATGATAAAAATATAGTGGCATGTATAATTGATTTTTTTTTTTCTTTTAGAGAGGAAAATCATAAAAGCTTCCTTTTAGCTACTGTCTAGCAAAATAAAAATAAAAATATAGTCATCTCCATGATACATTTCTATTTAATGCCAGTTGTGTAATATAAATAACAGTGGAGGAAACCCGACCCCTTAAATTACAATCATTCTTACAAAATAAATTAAAAACCATGCTTATGTATCAAAGACCTGCTTTTAATTACTCAATATTCCACAATTTCTATGAAAGGCTATTTGTTGTTTTTAAGTGCCATCGAGTTGGTTCCAACTCATAGTGACCCAGTATAGGGTTACTGAGGAGTGACTGGCAAGTTTGAACTGCCAACCTTGTGGTTCAAACCAACCTTGCAGTCCTGCGCTTATCCTCCAGCACCACACCAGAAGTCCATAAAAGGCTACGCTCTCCCTCTGATGATCAATTTTTGCTTGGACTTATTTATTAAGTATTTTGGGAAGTATAGTTAGTATGTACTGTATTTTTCCAGGACATTGAAGTCTTGCTTTGTAGCCTTTTAAATATCAAATTATAAATTTGAAATTTAAAGTAATGGTCATAGAAAGCTTTTACTCGACTTTTTTTTTTTTTTTTTTTAAAGTGTGTTTACTTATGAAGGTAAGTAAAAAAGTGTTGTTACTAGGGTTCTAGTTCTTTTATGCACAGGCTTATTCCAAACAAAATGAGTTGAAATTTATTTGTACAATCATGGGATGTGGCAGACAAGTTCAACCACCATGTTGGTTTATTAGGAAGAAGCTTTAAGAAGATGAAGAATTGCATTGGTGAGCAAAAGGCCAGGAAAATTATGCCAAGGAAGTTTTTTTCCCATCATGACAGTGTACCTTCTCACTCTTCGAGGGTAGCAAGAGTTGTTCTGTGATAATTTAATTGGGAAGGCTTACCCCATCCACCCTACAGCCTTGATCTTACCCCTTTGGATTTCTTTTTGTTTCCTAAACTAAAAAAGACATTGAAAAGAACACACTTTGGGATCCTGGAAGATGCTGAAACTGCCATTTTGATGTGCAAATAGAAAAGCATAGAATTCTTTGGAGATGGGTTATAAATGGAAACACCTTTGGAACTGCGTAGGCCTTGTTACATGCAGTAGAATTCTTCACTTGCATCATCACTATCTTTAGTGGTTGGTACGTAAATCTGAATAATAGTGGTATTAACTGGTCTACCTTGTTAAAATGGCAGGGTCACCCATGGTGGACAGGTTTCAATGGAGGTTCCATACTAAGACAGACTAGGAAGAAGGAGAGGCAGACCACTTCTGAATGGTTAGCCACTAAAAACCTTATAAATATCAATATATTTATATCAGATACAGTGCCAGAAGATGAGTCTCTCATGTTGGAATGTACTCAAAATATAACTGAGGAAGAGCTGCCTCCTCAAAGTAGAGTTGATCATAATGATGTGAATGGAGCAAAGCTTTTAGGACCTTCATTTGCTGGTGGGGCACAGCTTCAGATGAAGTGAAACAGCTGCAAATATCCATTAATAACTAGAAAATAGAAAGTAAGAAGATTGAATCTAGGAAAATTAGAAGCTGTCAAAATGATATGGAACGCATGAAGACTGATGTCCTAGGCATTAATGAGCTAAAATGGACTGTTATTGGCTGTTTTGAATCAGACAATCATATGGTTTACTATGCCAAGAATGTCGATTTAAAGATGAATGGCATCACATTCATCACCAAAAAGAACATTTTAAGATCTGTCTTGAAGTGCTATGGTGTCTGTATTAGGATAGTATCACCTAAGGAAGACCAAGGAGCTCTGGTAGTGCTAACCAGAAGGTCAGCATTCTGAATCTACCAGTCATCCTGCAAGATAAAGAAAGATAAGGCTTTCTGCTCCTATAAAAATTTATAGCCTCAGAAACCTTATACAGGGACTCTGTGAGTTAGTACTGACTGGTGGCACACACCACAACCACCACCACCACAAGGAAAACCAGTTAATACCACTATTATTCAAATTTATGAACCAACCACTAAAGTCAGTGATGATGAAATTGAAGAATTCTACCAACTTCTTTCTAGGATAAACACTGAAGTACTAATCTCAAGGTTGGTGGTTCAAGTCAAGCAGCTCTCCTTGGGAGAAAGATGAGGCTTTCTGCTTCCACATACATTTACAGCCTCTAAAATCCAATACAAGGTTGTGATGAGTCAGAATCAATTCTACAACACTTAACAACAACAACCAACTTCTTCATTCTGAAATTGATCAAACTATTAAGATGCATTGATAATTACTGGTGATTGGAATGCAAAATTTGCAAACAAAGAGGATCAGTAGTTGGAAATTGTGGCCTTGGTGATCACACTCTGGAGATCACATGTTAGAATTTTGCAAGATCAGTAAGTTATTCTTTGCAAATACCTTTTCTCAACAACATAAATGGTGACTATATACATGGACCTCACCAGATGGAATACACATAAATCAAATTGTCTAAACCTGTGGGAAGATATAATGGAGAAGCTCAATATCATCAGCAAAAATAAGGCTAGGTGCAGGCTGTGGAACAAACCATCAATTGCTAATATTTAAGTTCAGGATGAAGCTAGAGAAAATTGAAACAAGCTCACAAAAGCTAAAGTATGACCTTGAGAAAATACCACCTGAATTTAGAGACCATTTCAAGAACAGATTTGATGTATCAGATACCAATGACTGAACACCAGAAGAGTTGTGGGATGACAGCAAGAACATCATACATGAAGAAATCAAAAGGTCAATAAAAAGACAAGAAAGAAAGACAAAAAATGGATGTCAGAAGAGACTATGAAACTTGCTCTTGAGCATAGAAAAGCTAAAGCAACTGGGAAAAAATGAGGTAAAAGAGCTGAACAGAAAATTTCAAAAGGCAGTTTGAGAAAACAAAGTCAAGTTATAGTTAAATGTGCAAAGACTTGGAGTTAGAAAAGGGAAGGGAAGAACATGCTCAACATTTCTCTCAAGCTGCAGGAACTGAAGAAAAAAATTGAAACCTAAGCTAGCAATATTATTGGACTTCATTTGCAAAATATTGAGTCATGCAGGAAGCATCAAAAGAAGATGAAAGGAATACACAGAGTCACTGTATCAAAAAGAGGTAGCATATGATCAAGAACTGACTAGTAATATTGAAGGAAGAAGTTCAAGTTGCTTTGAAGGCATCGGTGAAAAACAAGGTACCAGGAATTGACGGAATACAAATGGAAATTTTTCTGATGCATCATTAGAGGCACTCACATGTCTGTCAAAAAAAATTTGGAAGACAGCTCCCTGGCCAACCAACTGGAAGAGATTCATATTTGTGACTATTCCAAAGAGAGACCCAATGGAATGCAGAAATCATTGAACATTATCACTAACATTTTTTAAAAGTAAAATTTTGCTAAAAATAATTTAAAAATGGTTGCAGCAGTGCGTTAACAGGAAGCTGCTAGAAAATCAAGCTGGATTCAGAAGAGAACACGGAAAGAAGGATATCATTGCTGATATCAGATGGGTCTTGTGTAAGAGCAGAGAATACCAGAAAGATGTTTACTTGTGCTTTCTTGACTATGCAAAAGCATTCAATTGTGGATCATAACGAACTATAGATAACATTGCGAAGAAAGGGTATTTCAGAACACTTAATTGTGCTCAGGAGGAACCTGTACATAGACCCAGATACAGTTGTTAAAACAGAACAAGGGGATACTGAATGGTTTAAATCAGGAGAAAGGTGTGCACCAGGATTGTATCCTTTCACCATATTTATTCAATTTGTATGCTGAACAAATAATCTGAGAAGCTGGATTCTATGAAGAAGAATATGGCATCAGGATTGGAGGAAGACTCAATTTGTGATATGCAGGTGACACAACCTTGCTAGCTGGAAGTGAGACGGACTTAAAATATATACTGGCAAAGATGGTAGCATAGTGGTTATGAGTTGGACTGCTAACCTCAACTGCCAGTGGTTCCGCAGGAGAAGAATGAGGCTTTCTGCTCTTGTAAAGATTTACAGCCTCAGAAACCCAACACAGGGTCACAATGAGTTGAAAACGACTCCACAGCTCACCACCACCACCAAGATCAAAGACCTTCAGTATGGATTGCAAGTCAATGTAAAGAAAGCAAAAATTCTCACAACTGGACTAATAAATAAATCATGATAACTGGAGAAAAGATTGAAGTTGTCAAATAATTTATTTTGCTTGGATCCAAAATGAACATTCATGGTAGCAGCAGACAAGAAATTAAATAATGTGTTGCATTCAGCACTGCTACATTTGTTCAAGAGCAAAGATGTTAGTTTGAGGACTAAGGTACATCTGACACAAGTCATGATATTTTTAATCACCTCATAAGCATGTGAAATTTGGGTAACCAATAAGGAAGACTGGAGAAGAATCGATACATTTGAATTATGGTGTTGATGGATATTGAAAGTACCGTGAACTGCCAGAATAACAAACAAATCCAGAATGCTCCTTAGAATCAAAGATGGCGTTACTTCATCTCTCCTACTTTGGACATGTTGTCAGGAGAAGATGATCAGAGAAAAAGAGAAAGACCCTTAATGAGATGAATTGACACAGTGGCAGTAACAATGGGCTAAAACATGACAATTGTGAGAATGACACAGGACTGGGCAGTGTTACCTTCTATTGTGCTATGAGTCAGAACTCACTTGATGGCACCTGAAAACAACAACATAGCCTATTAAAAGAAAAGTTCTCAATTCAAGTAACTACTTATTGTTTGTTGTTGTTAAGTACCATCAAGTAAGTTCTGACTCATAGCAATACTTGTTAGTCCTGTTCCAATTCAGAAAAATCCTTTTTTTGTTGTTTCTGGGCATATCTAGTTACAAATGGTCAAAAGTTCAATCTAATCTTTTAGTATTTCTCTTCAGAAATTTAACATTTGTTCTTTAGGAAAAAATCAAAAGGAGAAAATCAGTTTGTAAAGTTTTGCTGCTTTCATTCCGTCAGAAGAGATAAAGATAAGTTATGAATGGGTGCTTCTAAAAACTATTTTATCCAAGCAACCCAAATTTTGGATAAAAAACGGATTTGTGAATTGATGCGTATGTGCTAAAATACAGGAAAGTAGGTTCTAAACACTATGATGTAGCTGTACTGGATGCATTACCAGTCTTTGTATTGTAGAATTATAGAGGTAGAAAAGACCATTTGTTATTAAGTGCTGTGGAGTCGGTTCCGACTCAGAGCAACCTTGTGTAGGGTCATTTAGCTCAAATACCCCTTACCCCACAAATTGTATACATGTGGAAGCTGAGATCCTGTGGGTTTGTGATTTTCCCAGGGTCACACAGCTGTGTTAGAAACACTACTAAAACTCAATTTCCTGACTGCTCTGTGACTTAAGGAGTTCTGATATGGTGCTATAGGATAAGCACTCAACCTCAAGGTTGGTTTGAACTGCAAGGTCGGCGCTTCAAACTCACCAGACACTTCTCAGAAACGCTATATGGTACGCTATACAGATGCTCCTCAGAACCGACTCGACAGCACTTAACAACAATTATGACTTAAATTTAGCAGAGGAAGGTTTTTATCTATCCTTCAAACTCTGGATGATGAGTTATGTATTTTTCTGAGCTATTGCTTTCCAGGAAAGGAACTTCCGTTTTACTATTACTTTTCTTCTTTTTAGAATATTAGAAGTGCCATTGGTCCATTTTATTTGTATAGTTCTAAAACAGCTAAGCTTTATTTTAGAAAGCTAGCATATGTGAAATAAACAAAACCTTACTTTTCAAGTGTTTGGTATTTTTGACTGAATTGTTGGACTTCTTTTATAGTTTGCTACTCCCGTAAAGATTTACACCCTCGGAAACCCTGTACAGGGTCGCTATGGGTCGGAACCGACTCGACGGCACTTAACAACAACAACAACAGATACCTAAAAACTGCAAACCCTTCATGTACTTCTTTTGTTGTTTATAAGGTTCGAGTCTTTTCCTCTGTAATAGAAAATTGCTCTTTCATTTCAATCTCTATTGTCATTGACTCCTTTTTTTCAGGTATGAGATTTTATTCAAGCAACAGGTCAGAACTGAGGATGTTTTCCTAGGACTGTCCAGAAAGGACCCATCTACGGCATGTTGTGAAGATCTTCTGGTAAGCCTGTCTCCTCCCCTCCCCCTGATCTTCTGTATGACCCTTATAGCTGAATTGAATGAATGTTGTCTGCATAATACTGTAGGCAAAGCTGTAGGCTCTTCAAAAATAGTGATTGCTATAGGAGATTAGGTACTAGTAGAGAGAGTAACAAGCTGAACAGTTTTAAATTGGTAAAAATCTACAGACATATGATAAACTAATTTAAAACATGTGGCTAAGATGTACAAATAAATACAATAGAAATGTATGACATAATACAGGAGTTCTAGTCCTATTAAATCTCTCCAATCCATTTCTACTGATTTTTTTTTTTTTTCATTCTAGTCCCAAATATTGTGGCACTATGGGTTAATGCGCTGGACTGCAAAGTTGGTTTAAACTGCAAGGTTGGTGGTTCAAGCTCACCAGCCGCTCCTGGGAAACCCTATGCAGGGTCATTATAGGTGGGAACCGACTCTATAGCACTTAACAGAAACAACAATCCCGTATATGCTATATGGTTGGTTATTAACTTCTGACAGGCAATCGAAATGAGATATTTTATTTCTTGAATTCTGTCTTATCTCTTACTTTTGTATTTCTTCTTAACTTTTGAATCTGAATTTCTTATTTGATATATTAAGAAGACACCAAAAAAATTATTTGACTCCCTTATTTGAATGACACTAGTGGCACTGTGGGTTAATGCGCCAGACTGAAAAGCCGTTTGAACTGCAAGGTCGGCGGTTCAAGCTCACCAGCTGCTCCTCAGAAATCCTATACAGGGTCGCTGTGGGTCGGAACCAACTCGACGGCACTCAACAGCAACAGCATTTTGTATAACATCCTTGCTAAGTCATTGTTTCTGTACAATATTGAACAATACCTTCAATATCAACTGTATATTAACTACCTTGCTTTTTTTCACTTGATCCTCATAGTTGTCTTGTGACAAGGTCTGGCCCTGCCTAACCCAGAGAGTGAAATGAGACTCATTTTGGCAGCATGCACAAATAATTCTAGTGCTGAAAATTCCTTTTATGAGATGTTGTTGTTGTTGTTGTTAAGTGCTGTTGAGTTGATTCTGATCCATAGCTACCCTGTATAGGGTTTCCAAGAAGCAGCTGGTGAGTTTAAACCACTGACCTTGCAATTCATTTGCAGTTTGTTTGATGCATTAGCCCACAGCACCATACCAGTACTCTTTTATGAGATAGGATTGACTATATATCCTCCATTTCCCACTTCACTTACAATATTTTGCATGGTCTGGTAGTAAGGTGTTCAGAAAACCACTAGATATTGTCAGTTCAGACTCTTGGTGATCCCATGTGTCAGAGTAGAACTGTGCTCTAGAGAGTTTTTAATGGCTGAGTTTTCAGAAGTAGATTGCCAGACCTTTCTTCTGAGGCACCTCTGTGTGGACGAGACCCACCAACCTTTAGGTTAGCAGTCAAGCATGTTAGCCAATTGCAACACTTAGGAACTCCAAGGTTGTTGTTGTTGTTGTTGTTGTATGCCATCGAGTTGGTTCTGACTCACAGTTACCCTGTATAGGGTTTCCGAGAATTACTAGTGGGTTTAAACTACCAACCTTGCTGTTAGCAGTCCATGTTTTATCATACGGCGCCATACCAGATGCTTAATATATTTTCCTTAAGCAACTAGTAAGAGAATCTCTTGTTTGCATGAACTTCAGGTTTTCTCTTATTAGCAAAATCTAAAATATTCAATTGAATTAAGTAACATAATGGGAATAGTGACTTTAAGTACCTCAGGAGATTTTTCTAACTCTAATGAGTTAAGGTTTCAAGTGGTCTTGAAGTAATTAGCTCCCAGGGTTTTATCAGTAATAATAACTTTATCAAATTCCTCTCTTAAATTGCTATAAAATTATGTTTTTGATTTTTACTGTTGAGCTTTGCTCTAAACTGTGCAGAAATTCTAGACCCTAATAAATAAAACTGTTGTGAGCCTTTCCATTTCTCTCCTTCAAATTGCTACACTAGTTTTAATAGTAAAAGTATCCTAAAATGAAGAATTTTGTAAACTAAATTGTACTTCAAAATAGGACTATACAGTTGATAAAAAAACTCAATAAGTATATACAGAAGAGTTAACCCCTCCTTCTAATGAATTTATAATTGATTACAGAAAAATAATTAGCATTAACTCATTTTATTGTTAACAATTCAAGTCTACTGGGGGTTCAGAGGGTTTGGATAAGTGCCAGACTAAGGAACCACTGAATGAAGTGAAACATTAGCTTGTCCTATAGAGCCCTGATATTGTAATGGATTACGAGCCAGGAAAGGTCAGCAGTTTGAAACTACTAGTTGCTCTGTGGGAGAAAGATGAGGCTTTCTGCTTCCGTAAAGATTTACAGCCTTGGAAATCCTGTACAGGGTAGCTATGAGTCAGAATTGACTCGTCACACAACTACTATGACACTTTACTGTGTGTTTGCTTTTCTATTTCTTTCCTTCATTTGTTCATTCATTAAATACTTGGTAAATACTACTGCATTCTAGACACTGCCCTAAGTATTAGGGATACAAAGATAAATAAGCAACAGTTAAATGCCTTTAAGGATTGTAAGACGATGGACATCGAACAAATCACTGCAGTCAGTATGATAAACACAAAGTTAGAGGCATATACCAGGTACATGGTAGCATAAAGCAGAAAGGGGATCAACTCTGTTTGAGGGGATAGGATTTACACAGTGAACAACAGGGAAGGCCATTCTACACAGAGGTAAGAGCATCCAGAGAGAGGTATCCAGGCATGAAATAGTATGGCATGTTGAATAAAGGGTAAGAATAATAAGAATAATGGAGACCTGGTGTGGCCTGAGGGTTAATGCACTGGACTGCAAGGTCGCTTTGAACCACAAGATCGGTGGTTCAAACTCACCAGCCACTCCTCAGACACACTATACAGGGTCACTGTAAGTGGGTACTGACTCAACAGCACTTAACAACGGCAACAACATAGCAAGAACAAAGAATAACTGTGGACAGTGGTGAACTAGTAAACTGGCTCTCAAAAAAGAAAGAAAGAAAGAAAGTCCTAAAATCAAAAAAAGACAGGGCCTACTTGTAGCTTTAATTTTATCCTAACAGTATGTTAATATTGACACCTGCGCCATTTCTTAATTCTACTGGTAAAACTCAGGCTAAAGAGATTGTTGACCCCATATCAAGCAAGTATTTCTTATGCAAATTTGTAAGCTTATTATCCTTGCTTGTAATATGGCATTTCCTTAAATCTAAACCACCATCAAATTGTAAATGTACCATTTATTTAATAACAATTTTCAGGGTAAAAAATAGGCATGCTACCACATAAAATATATACATTAATTGTGTGGTGCATTGCATTATCAGAAACATTAAAGTGTGAGGAAAATCTAACTTCAACTTTGACAGAATGATATTTGAGTCTTGGACCTAGTCCATATCTAACAATCCAGAGACTTAGAGAAAATCCGTACTTAAGCTGTGGAAGGTAATAGTAGTACAGAGACCAATTTGGTTAAGTGCAAGGATTGATTTAGAGTTTTAAACAAGCACAAAACTTTAACTTAAAACACAATAAAATATTATTTAAAAACAAAATGCACAAGGGGTCCTTTCTTTTAGCTTCATCAAACTCTAAATAGGAAAAGCAAGATTGGTGGCACAACAGCTAAGTGCTCAACTGCTCAAACAAAAGATTGGCAGTTCTAACCCAGGTAGCAGCTCTGCAGGAGCAAGACTGGCAATCTGCTCCTGTAAAGATTACAGCTAGTGTTTGAATATCAAGCAAGCTGATTACTTTGAAGGCATCAAGGAAAGTTAAGTCACTCCATCAGGGAAAACTCCTTTCTAGGACTGAAACTCAAAGGGAACCCATGAGCTCTCTGGGTCTACTTGTGAATGGAAGTAGGGGAAATACAGCAATGAAGACATGGGCTGAGTTTGGTCATGTTCTGTTGGCACCCGTTGACTTTGAAATGAGAGAGATAAGAGGAAGGGCTGGTTGGCCTGAAGTTTAAGAAGATGTGTGAACGAACTCCTGAGCCCATGGGCACTGACTGACCTAACCCCTGGGGGCTAGGGCTGAGAGTGGTGCGGCCAGCTGGTATGAAGTGCAGGGAGGCATGCATAAAATCCCAAACTTGCAGCTGGTACCCATTTGACTTAGTGTGGATGACTAATAATTGACCAGAACTCGGCTTGGATGGCTAGTTGACCAGAAGTCAAACCAAGAAATATAAAGATGTTTGATACTGAGAACAAGTGCAAATTGCTACAATTTGATAAACTTGATTTTGCCTGTGAATGCAGTGACTCAAAATTCCAAACAGATTGGAAGGATTTTTCATATCAAGGAACAAATTTGTTTCCTCAGTGTACTGGGTTGATATGGGTGAGAAATTTAGACATTGGCTATCCAAAATGGGGTGAGGGGGCTACAAAGGCACGAAGTGGCTGATTTACAAGCTTTCATGAGCGTGCTTAGTTGCAGAATGAGGGATGTAAGGTAGAATCCCCACTGAATAGTTTCCCTCTTTCCCAGATTGGTCTAATGAAAGAGGATGGAGGACGATGGTGATAGGATTTTATGACTCGATTGTGAATAATTGTTAACAGGATTAATTGCAATTGTCACAACTGTAATTGTAGAAGATGTATAACTAAAAAGAGGGAGTAGGTAATCTTTCATTTTAGGAATAGATGATCCCAGAACCATCAGGAAGGAAGAGTATGAGTAGACAGTGAAATCCTAGCAGTGACAGCAAAGATGGTGGCTGTGTGCCTGTGGGCAGGAGGCTGGCTGGCAGAATATGCCCTTTGGACATTTAAATGAGTATCTAATTTTTTTGTTTTGTTTTGTCAGTGTACATCAAATATTTTTGCCTTGTTCTTTTGTGGAATGTAAGATGTAGATGAGGAGCCACAGGGAGGAAGTAGGATAAATATTGCAGGAAGGGGATTACAAATCATTGAGATGAAACAAGGTGTATGGTTTGC